CAAATGCCAATTTGCCAGTTCTAGAGCTATATGGCAAGCTCTCTCCACGACCCCAAAACTGGACCCCTTAGGGGGCCATCAAAGGGCGATAGCGGTGCAACAATGCGAGGGTGTGGGGGGAGAGGGAAAGTTTAGTAAGCATCGACAGGCCTTCCTGTATGTATTGCCGGGCGGCAAACGAAGATCCCCACCTGCCTCGCAAGAGGGACCGTTCCATCAGTCCATGAACCCGAAAATCTTCCGTAGCGCCTCCTCTGCGCAAGCTGTAAGGTCTGAAGGTGTCCTTAAGTTTGAAGAATGCGGTGAGACGTTTAAAAGCCGATCGAAATTCGGAGCGAGAGCGAGGCCAAACAAGGTCCTGCTTTGAAGGGGCAAGATCACACGCAGTTCGGGCAATAAGAACAGTAGGCAGGTGATAAATCACCACATTCTCATCGACGCTTACGCCGCTCTCTTTCCAGCTGCTCAGGCCCGGCTCGCCTCGTCCGTCGGGTTCTCTGCCGAGTCGACATGGGCCAGGTTTAGGATACAATGTGCTGCTAAAAGAAGGGCATTGATTTTGTTTACAATAAAATGGAGCTTGCGGCTAGCCGTCCTGCCCTTCGACAGGATTGAAATGCTAACATAAGAATCGGAGAGGTGAAAAACCCGACGGTTGCAAATGCTCCTCTGCAAAGTTTTCCACAACAAAGAAAGGTAAATGGCGCGCACCTCCAATGCGTTTATTTGTTCAGCTTGTCTCCACCTGGTTTTAAACACTTGCTGCCAGGTCCACCAATATGCTTGAGCCGATTGATGAGGGAAAACCTTTGGGTTCAAAATTTGCCCTGAAGTGATTCTGACATCGCTTCCAGTATGGCGGACCCTCGCCAGCAAATGTTGGTTAATATGTAGAACGTCTGCGTCTGCCGGAAGGTCAGGGATTTCGCATCCAATCTGAAGAGGACAGCGGAGCCCAAGCCGGAGCCCCAGCCCTGGCGGAAGCCCCATTCGGGAAAACAAATGGTCGGGGTCGAAGCATCCCGTCAACTTAGCCACCCCAGCGGCGGCCACGAGACAAAAGGACCAGATTGAAAAAGAATCACCTACTTCATTGCACCTCTCATCCTCAAACTCCTGCTCGTGTCCCTTCTGCTTTGATGCTGCCATGCAGGCTTTTGTGTGTCCTGCCCCGTATCCCATCAAAATCTCACGCTCACCGGCGGAAAGGAGTCGTCCATTGCCTGTCGCTTTGGAGAAAAGGAGGTACTGATACTTGTACTGATAAGGCGGGAACCTAAATGAATCAAGTTCCCACCTAGCACGCGTGAGTTCATCAGTTCGTGAGAGGCCCGCAGGCTGCGGCGGGGGCCTCCCCCTTGGGATTGCTTTCATAAACGTGGGGTATATGACCTTTGGCTCGGACTGCTCCCACTCAGGGCTGAGCCATTGGCTAGGCTCAGGCCAGGTCCCAGCAACTGAGACCATCTTGTACCCATTGCAATCAGTAATCTCCAGGCCACAGAAGTCTTCCAACCATAGGGAGGTCCAACAGAACCGTGGCCGACTGTTTGGAACTTGAGCACTGGGATCAAGCTTGTAAGGGATCACGCCTACCAGGGAACTGATCTGGTCTCTGGCCTCCACGTCCATGCTAGCCACATTTTCATAGAAAAATTCAAAGCCACAGCGTGGGAACAGAGCTCGGCAATCCTCAAATACCCTCAAGGCCTCAAAAATGAGACCACTTGAGGCACCAGCTAGGTTCCGTCGGTTAGCCCTAACGCTGCTTAGGTCCACACAGGGAACCCTGCCCAGCCATGAATTTCTGAAAAGTCTCCTACTCCACCTAACAAGTCCGACAGGGCCTCTTTGTCCAGCTTCCGAACGTCATCCCAGAAAATCGTGTTTGGCCATCTCCGTGAGACCACTCGGTTGCTGGGCTTATGGATGTCACATGCAATATAGGCGACCACTTCAACACCACAAATATCATAACACCTGGCAGCGCCTCCAATTCCATTGAACAATGACACAACAACGACGGGAATCGGCAGAGGGGAGTTTAGCGGCCGCTGGGATGCCACGAACGCCTTCCCAGCGCTCGTGAGTGTCCTGGAGATGGCCACCGCTCCTCCTCGGAGACTGGCGTCACTGCATGTGATGGCCTCGTCAACCCGAGCCCCTAACCAAGTGTGGAAAAGGGGGATCCCAAAAACACCAAACAGTAGCTCCCGTTTGACCTCTCTGTGAAGGCAACCTTGAGAGTCCTTGTCCGTGATCCAGTCCCAAACTCTATCAAAATGGGACATGGCAGGTCTCCTGAACTGGAGCGCAAAGCACCAACGGCCCATCGTCACCTGTAACTTCTTTTTGGACACATGGGACTGAGACGCTAGCCACAGCGAGCACTTAGCGATCTTAATAAGACGCTCCGGCCCGGCCCCAATCCACTGGTCCTTACCTCCAATGAAGGCTCCAAGCTCAATTCCAGAAGTAGCTCCGGTCACTGTCTTGTCCTTTGAAATCACAATACCTGCCTGGTCCCAAAGCCCCTCTGCCGTCTCCTGCATCGCCTCCAAAGCACCTGGGATGAAGCCTGCTACCTTAGCGCCTCCAGCGAAATTATCCAAATACACGTGCCACCATGGTCGCCCAGGGACTGGAGCGGCCGACGAAGAATCAATCAGCCAAGGAGGCAGGGGGCTCGTCTTAGAGAGCTGCCCCGCCGCGTCCAGTCCCCCCCTCAGTAGGATCAGTTCAGCCGCTTCCTGCATAACGCCCACCGCAGATGACCAACCCATCGGCAACACCTGGCAAGATAAATACCACAATTTGTTCCTCTTTTCAGCCTCATTCAGCCCAATCTCATGCCCTCGGAAAGAAAGGTTGAATGAAAGCAACCGGGTCCAAGCCTGCGGCAGGCGAAAAAGGTAAAACGCACAGGCCATGTCACTTTGGGAAATCCGCAGCTGCTCCGACTTGTCGACCACCACACTTAACCACTGAGTAATACTTGGGAGCCTCGCAACTCGTCCAGGTATCACTTTCAACACAGCATCAGCCGGGGTCAAATTCATGATCAGCCGCAATATGCTCTGGCCATTCGACAGGTATTTGCTCTTCGGCAAGAAAGACCGCTGAGCACCTTTTCACCTCTATACCTCACGATTTCAGATTCCTCCGTCCACACACAAATGCCTCTCCTAACCAACTCACAGGCGATCGGCAGACGCTCCTCTTGCACGATATGGATCTTCCCTTGAAGTCTCGGCAGCTCCTGCCCTACATCTGGACAAATACAGGCATCAGGATGCTCCAAAAGCCAGCGAGTCCGCTCCCCCACCCACTCTGTGATGGGGATCACACCTCCATGCCCCTCTGGAGGAAGGGCTGGTGCCAACCTAGCAAGGGACAACACCTCGGCCTTACATACCTCCTCGCCTGTGTAGGAGAGCGTTCTCTTGGCAAAGTCATCCATGACCTGATGAACTCCCCAAACAAACGAAACATCTTCACCAAGGATTCGGCGCACGCTAGCCCGCATCGATGCCAACAAGTCCCTCTGAGCAGCAGAGGGAGCACCCGAACCTACCAGGTCCCCACAGCCGGACAAGCTGTTAACAAACCAACGCACAAACTCGCACCAACAGTCCTCAGCCGATCTCTTCACTAGTTCAGAGTCAGCCAACAAAGCACTCAAATTCAACTGAAAAGGAAAACTCGACAACGACGAATTCGGATCAGGCGGCAGGGGAAAAATCTCTCTCTTTGAGCGGGTCGCTCGTGGTGACGGACGCCCTTTTTCAGAAGCAAGCCAGCTTCGAAGATCGTTCAGCAGACGGTCCCTGCTCGCCATCTGCGGGTGAAAAACGCAAAAATACATCCCGACACCCAGCTCGGAAAGGGATCCAGCCGTGTCCAAAAGGGATTTCCACCAACAAGCTTCCAAGCCTAGGCCGTGGCCTCCTTCTCCTTCGTGGCGTCGGCCTTCGCCTTGGAATCAGGGGCGAGGCTTGTGATCCGGCTGCTGCAACCTTGTCCATCAGCTTGGAGTACTTCCTGGCCGCCAACGTAATCGCCGGTCCGGCCGCCGTGAGGTGCTCTGGGGAGTACAGCTCTAAGCGCTTTGCCGCGGACCAGTTTTGATCCAGTTGGGCTTGCTCGAGCGCGAACCAGCGAGCCGCGAGCGCGTCCCCCAGCCTGCCAAGGCGTCCAACCCGGAGTAGGTCGACGCAATTTGCTGTCAAGAACATCTCGCGGCCGTCTCTTGTTTGTTGGTTCACTCCCCCCCCCCTGAGTGAGGGAGTGCCAGTAGGTCACGATCTTGGTCCCCTGCATCAAGGGATTCACGTTGCCGCCTGCCCCGGAGAGCTCGTTCAATCTTGCCTCCACCTGCTCGACCAAAAGCTCGAGTACTGAGCCCTCCTGGCGATCGCTGCGTTTGTTTAGAGGCGGCAAAAGGGATGCCTCCTCGGAGCTGTCTTTCTCGTCCGAGCTGCTCCCTGAGCCATCGCTCTGTGAGGGATCGCCTGACCCCCCAGAGTCTCCATCTCCCGACTCCTGATCGGAATCCTTCTTCTTTTTCTTCTTTTTCTTTGCCTTCTTGCCTCCAAAGATGATGCGGAGTGCGTTGAAAGCTTTCTCTCTCTTCTCCTTCTTCTTCTTGGGCCTGCCTGCCCTGCCTTTCTTGTGGGCCTCCACAGCTCGCAGCACCAGGCTCGAGGTTACCCCAGCCGTGCGTTGAGCATCCTTCAAGCTCTTCATAATACCATCTTTTTGCCCCTCCACTGCTAGGGGCGGCGCCGCACGGCCCCGGCCAGCGAAAGCCTTCGTCTCGATAAGCTTCCTCCCAGTCGTCAAAGGCGCCACTGCAGGGGGAGCATCTCCAGCCTCCTCTCTCCCCCAAGCGTCTCCATCGTTGTCGCGATGAGCTCCAGGCTTCAAAGCCTCCTGGCGGGCACGGATTTTCTCCAGCCTGCTTCGTAGTGCACTGGGAGCTGTTGGGTCGGCGTCGTCCACCTCTTCCACGTCCTTCTTCTTTCTTTTGGGGCCAGCAGGAGGTCGGCCTCCTTTGCCATCCCCAGTCATCTTGCGCTTTGCTGTCGCCTTCGCACCTTTTGGATCCTTTCCAGGCCTCGGCTTCAAAGCAAAACCTTCCCTTGTTTCCCACTGGTCGGAGGGCTCGTCGTCCTTGCCAGTGAGGACCTGTTTCAGCAATCGGCGCCCCCCTGACGACAGGCGGGAACCCGCGAAAGTTGCACCGTCCCACAACTCCAACTGGCGCACGTGAAAAGCAGCGCCTTCGTGCAAGCATGGGCCTTCTCCCAAACAAATGTGGAGTTCGCCTGCTCGACGATTGAACAATGAAGATAGGGCCGGAAGTGCGTCGTCTCGACTTGCTCCAATCACCCTCACCGGTACCAGCAGTGATCCATCTGGTTGCAAAATGCGATCGATCACCACAAAAATAGATTCTACCCCTTCTTGGCCAAACACCTCTCCTGGGACCTCGGTAATCAAGATGTTTCCAGGCTGAGGTGCGAGCAGGCTCCATCGTACGGTATCTCTCACATCGTAGCGCCCAAAAGGGCTGTCTCCTTCGGCCTCGACAGGCATTTCTGCCTCTACCCCTGAAGTCATTGGCGCGGCCTCGGAGGGAAGCCAGCCACTGACTCCCTGGGCGCCTGAGGATCAAAGTCGAAATACGACCGATCCAGGCTCCTGTGAAGCCTGACAAATGGGTTCGCGTCGGCGCGACCCAAGCGCTTGTGTTTCCGACCAGCCCGGTGTGAATGCTTTCTTCTTCGCTTCTTCGGCCGAGTGTCCCCTCTCCGCGAACGGTGATGTCCACGGTCAGTAGTCCTCGACGTTCGATGGCCCCTGGCAGTCTCCCGCCTGGTTGACCTTCGATCTGGCGAACCTGGCTCGACGGCGTCAGCCTGGTCCCCTTCGTGTCGGGCTGCAGCCGGCTCCTCCTTCACGACCTCCTCAGTCTCTCGCGACGGCCGCACCTCAGGGCGAGCCTTGGAAGCAACCCCAGGTGGCCCTCCGGCTGCCTCAGGCACAACAGTGGTGGCCACCGAGTCGCTCTCAGACTCCTCCGATTCCTCGGAACCCCCCTGCTCGGCCTCCGGGCCTGCAGGTGCGGGCGAGTCTCCCTGGGGCTTTTCAGCCTCTCGGGAAGTCCTTCCCCCTGGCCTGGGGGAGCGCAGGAGGGGCTCCCTCCTGTCAGAGGCCTCGGGGAGGTCCCCAGCCTCCTTGGGCTCAGCTGCCGCCGGCCTCAAGGCGGGAGGCCGCGCAGCCTCGGTGACCGGCGGCGCGAGCCGGGTCACGCGCAAGGCCCGCACTTGCCTCACCGCCGAGACCACAAGGTCGGTGGCCACGGCGCGGAGCGCGGGGTGTGTCCACTGGAACCCCAGCTCCACGCCGAGGGCCTCCCAACCGCTGCAGGCGAGGCACCACGTGTCCCCACCCGATGGTGGAGACCGCTTGCACCTCGCGCAGCGGTCCATCCAAGACCGAAGGCTAATTTGAGCCAATGGCCGCATACGTGCCTTCGTGCAAAACATCTCGCTCTACGAGCAGATAACATAGTTGCTTTTATGGTTTGCCTGCAGGTGGTGAGATGTTGATTTGCTCAGGATTGTTTCTTGTGTGGTTTGTCAGGACATGGTGTTGTGTTCTGTCTATATTAGTCTATATACAGTCTAGGATTAGGCTCGCTGTGAACAGCAGCATTCAGAAGATAACATCCACTGGATCATATCAACAGAATTTCTCTGAAAAGAGACTTGGCTCGTTTCCCTGATGCATGCCACAGAGTGCACCACCTATGCTTGTACAGGCAGACTATGTCTTGGGGTAAAACTAACTCGCGCACATCTGCTCTGACCGTGAGACCGGCCAAGCCACATGCCAAGGGTCAAGGGTCCGTCGAAAACAAGGGTCGTCTAGAAACTGGAACGCTTCCAACCAAGCGACCAAGCAAACACAAACCATAGAATTGTCTGACTTACCCACAACCCGATCACTGAAATCCCCCCACCAGAAAAGTGTTACCAAGCCCGGCGCCAAAAAAAGACGTACCATCTTCAGACAAACCATCCAAGAATGAAAGAGGGGTTTTCTTCCCCTCCCACCCACTCCAAGTCACCAAGAGCACCCATCCGTCATCCACTCCACCCCCGGTCCAGACGTCATCAGTGCTGATGCCCATCGATTCCAGAAAGCTTGAGAGCTCCCCCCTCGTCATGGCATCTTCTAAATCCTTCAGGGCACTCATCAGTCAAGAGACCCTCCACGACCGGCTGCCGGTAAACCCGCCAGTGGCCTGGGAATCCTACCAGAACACATGCGGAAACCCGAAGACTTGAAGGTGCTTGATTCACCAGGATCGTGTGACACTTGTGGTAATGAAACCCTGAAAAAACTGCGTCGGCCCCAGGATGAAATCAATATAGAATCAGACTGACTATGTCAATGTAAAAATGCCGTTCCGACTCCTCGATGCTCACCTCATTGGTGCCCGTGGCATCGATCTCGTAGAAGATCTTCTGCAAGGTGTGCACCTGCGAGGTGATGGCGCGCTAACCGTGCACTCCGTGGGTGGGCCATCGTAACAGGTACCCGACCAAGCCTGATTGCTCTTTGTGTACACTTGCTTGATGCTGGCCAACTCTTTGTCCACGCTGGCATTCTCTATGGCCGTGTTACCTAGCTTTTGTGCCACGAGCAGGCATGACTAAGTTGGCAAAAAAATCACAACAAATCCGTATATGCAGGGAAGCCACAGAATACACCAATCACAACCTAGTGCGCCAAGCATGCTAAAAGACTCACATGCAACAATGCTGCCAATATAGCGACATACACGCACGATGATGAAACTGACAAGTCAATCAAAGCTTGTGGTGATTCACTTCACTTCAGCTGATGCAAACCTTCCAGTTCCTTCTCAGATTTCTGCTGCCCAGAATCATTAAGAACGGCAAACACCGTCACCGCAATATAAAGGATCACCTTGGATTCGGTCAAGGGGGTGCGCACATGGCCTCGCTATGGCCATCACATTGGGTGCCTCCAAAACAACGGGTCTTTTCAGCAGGGTACTTGGACGCTTGTCTGGTGTGGTCCAAAAACCACAGAGTTCAAGAGCTGAGGGCATCGCTGCAGATCGCAAAAAGCACGGCCGTCTCAACCATGAGTCAGCAGATCACAATCCCGAACGAAGAGACTGGCTCCGTCCCTTAAGTCTTAAGTGGCAAACAGAACTTGGCACCCAATCCCAAGCCAGCTTCGCACAAGCAATCCACCCATCTGGGGGGACACCTGCCTTTTGCTGCAAAAGCCAGGCAGTAGCCTGCCCCACCAGCATTCAATCAGGCCATGTGCAAACCCAGTTTCACCAGTCATTTCACCAAGGGCCCAGCTCTTGAGAAATTAGGATTCTCAGTGCATTCGGATTGATGTTTATACAATCTTCGTCCTGCTGCCGTTCAATTGTCAAGATTCCTAAACTATCCAAAGGTAGATCAACGCAAATCCTGATGCGAGTTGAACCTTCGGGGCACTTTTCGGAGTTCGCCACCCTCCCCGGCCCCCACCCAAGCACCACGGCCCAAGGCCTGGCGGTTTCCTGTTCCACCGAAGGAGCAAGGCCAACGGCCCAGGAGGAGACTTTGAAGAGCGGCTGGAGCGCCGATTCCCAGTCCAAACCACCCGAGATGGAGGCAAAAAGGGTGAGCATGCCTCAGTCAGCGGCATGCCACGTGGGGGTGATCCAGAATTACGTTGGGGTGCTCCAGCAACTTGGCATTTTCTGCTTTGTGCCTCAGTTGGGATGCTCCATGGGTCAGTGAAAAAAGTACCTGGAGCCTCAACGTTGCAGGATGCAAGAATACTAATAGAATCTGATGATGAAAACATGCTTCCAGCTTTGTCGCAGGGGTGTACTGTCAAAAGGCCCAACACCCTCTGCATACGAGACCGATCACGGCACCTCCACCGATCCTGCTGCCCAGACGCTTCCCGGGACGCTGGACCAGTACCGGTCAAGACCGTCCAGGCCGGGGGACTCCGCACAGTTCGGGATCGCATTGGGGTCCTGGTGAAAGTCTAAAACACATTGGGCAAGGCTTCAAACTCCTTGTTCAGTTCTGGCTAAAGTGTCAGCAAGTGAGCCCAACCTTCTGGCGCAAGTTAGTAGGGGAGGGATGGAAACTGGGGTCTGTCGGGAATAAAATATGTATGTATGTCTTTTGTATGTGTGTGTGCATCTGTATGTATATATATGTATATAGACAGATCTATGTGTGTGTGTAGTATATGTGTACATGACTGTGTATGTATATATATATATATGTGTGTGTGTGTGTGTGCGCATTGTTTATGCTGTATACTATCCAGTATTGTATAACATTTGTTGCTGCTGCATCTGATCGTCACTTGTTGCACCACGCCCTTCACCTGCGTCGTCCGATTCGGACCACTGCTCGCTCTCACTCGCCCAAGGGCTTCAGCGGTGAAGGCACACACCGGCCCAGTGGTTCTGCACAAACGCCCTTGTGACTTGACTCCACCAGCCCAGAAGCACTCCTGTTGAGCTTCCGCAGCCAGACCTCGACAGTGCTCCACTACCAATTGCGTGACCACCACTCCAAAGCTATACCTCGGACGATGCTCATGGCTGATGGGACAGGGGCAGGTGTCCAAGCCTGCATATAGCACCTCGTAAGGCTCTGAGCTGAGCTTGTGGCTCAGCTTGGTCCACTTGAGGTTCGTATAGGTTGGTGTCAGTTCGTGAATTCCCCCACGTCATCCCCAAAAACCTGTTCCATCTGCACCCTCTGTCCACAGCTCCCCTCACCGTCCCGCACGCCTCGTTTCCGTGCCCAAAAATCGTCGATACCCATCGTCGATACCCGTCCTCCACCATTTTGCCACGGCATTAATTTTGCAAGCAATAATCTGAGGATGTGGATTTTCTGTACATGTCTGCCGTATTTTAAAAAAATATCCCGGCCAGAGACCCCAAACCTGTGTGTGTGAGGTCTAGTGGTGTAGCATGGTGTAGCAACACAAAGTCTAGAGACTTAGACGCATTGGGGTCCAGAGAAGTGATGGCGGTGGGATGGGTCGAAGCTTGGAGGCCGGCTGCGCCTGGTCGGTTTGGCGAACCGGACTGGCTTGGGGATGTAAACCTGAAGCATCTCGGTCCACACCGTTGGAAAGGCTCCCAAGACTTCCCACCAATGGAAGCAAAATGCTGGTCCACATGGACTTAGGAAAGGCACCGACTTCGTGGCCTCACCAGCCGATTACTCCACCAGAGCGATGACGTTGTGCAAGAGCTGCCTTGTAGAGGAGATCGAGATCTAGAGAGGGCCACGACTCTCCTGCAGCCGCTGGCGGTCCCTGCACCCATGCCTTCAGACTGATCTCTGTCCCAAACTCTTCTCCAGAGCTGGCAGATCTTGTCCAACACTTCCTGGGGGCACGAAGCACACTGGTCGTCCGGATCGAGGTGCTGGCGCCGAAGGCTTTTGGCGGAGCCACTTATAGATTATAGATCTCCCGGTCATCTGGCCGCAGCTTATGTCGCCAATTCTGAAGACGTTCTTGCAAGTGTTCGCTCTGAAGTGCGGCAACTTGCCGCGCTGCATCGGCAGCTGTCATGCCAAGAGAGTGTCGTCCGGGTGACGACGGATGCAACGCCACTAGTCGGAGTCCGCCACCCGAAGGCCGTGACGCTGCTGTCTGCCATGAAATCTGCACATAATGGACTAGGTACTGCACCTGCTGCAAACGAGCCACATGTCCAAAAGTCACGACTCACCGCACCTGTCACGAAATCCGAGCGCGAAGATCACCACCATGTCCAAAGCACTGCGCCTGCCACGAAATCTGCTTTTCGAAGTAAAGCCGCTCCGACCCCTTGCACCTGTCACGAAAAGATGGCTTTGGACCACCAAAACAAGAGGTTTCCCTTGCCACTTGTGCCTGCCATGAAAAATGACCACCATGTCCGAAAATGCGCACGGCACCACAACGAGAGCGCAGTTGCGACAAGCACCCGCGCCAGCCCACCAGATTCTGCGAGCCTGCGCAGTCGAAATGCACTTCGAGGATTTCGAGAGGCATGAATGTACTGTAAATAGCAGCGAATTGGCCGGACGTCCTGGTGCAACACCTCGATTAGACACCGGCCCTTAACCCCCCCGCAAGAACCCCTAGTGTGTCCACACTGTTTAGGGAAAAATATGGGAAAAAAATCACCTCCAATAGTTAAATCTATGGCATCACCCATCATATGCATTTTAATATGTGTGATGCCATAAATCCTTTGTACCTGCCCACGTCCCGCACCCCACCGAGAACGCGCCGTGGACATCCCAAACGGTCTCCACCCTTGGTCGCAGAAGCTCGCGACTCGTTGAACCCAAAAGCTCCGAGCGACACCAGGATCACCAAGATCACCAGGGTCCAGAAGAGCGAACCCGACGTGCCTTGGAGCGGAGCGGGGGGGAGGGGAGGGTAAGCGCCCCAGGCGTGACGGGAGCGGTGGGTGGGGACGGGAGCGGTGGGGTGAGAAGGACTATGGAGGGCAAGAATGCCGGAGATGGATGGAGATGGAGGGAAAAGGTGATAGTAGATCTGGGGTTGCTCCTGGCCTCAATGCACATGATGGTGGATCTGGATCACTGGTATGGGAGCCCAAATCCGAGAAGGAGTCCATGAATCTGTCTCTTCCCTTTTGGCCCACCCCCATGACCACTGTTGATGATTGAGTGGGGGTCAAGCAGCTAGGATCCAGAGCAGACGCTAAACAGTCCTTAGGTTCATAGGCCTGTGGAAGGAGGCCTCACGATACAGCCGATGTAAACGAGGGAATCCTTCACCAAGAGGGCCCGCCCATGAACGGCTTATGATGGGGCCCCTCGATCCAAGAACTCATCTGTCTCTTCCCTGTGCCACCCTCACTGGCTTGGGTGCCACAGGACCACAGGGAAGAAACAAGTGAGCCCCTTCCTGGGTCGACTGAGGTCCAGTCCAGTGTTCAAAAGGTGGTACATTCTGACTCACTAACATGGAAATGGAAAATGGCCTCTTGGGAGACTACTTTCCTTTACAAACAGCAGGTTTTCCATGTTAGTGAGTCGGAGTGTAGAACTCGCTTCATGCACCATACCATTGACATCACCAAACGGAAGACTGGGGAAGGGCGTGCCGCTGCAAGGGCCGCAGGTCGATTGAAGACCTGCCCAGTGTCGTACCTCACTTCGGGGATGGTACGGCACCCTTTGCGACCCTGAAACACCATGACCCGACCCTCATGTGAAGGATTCAATGGATGATGTTTGCAACATCCATTGATGAAATTGCTTCGAAAGAAAACCTTAAGACTGACTGGAGGCACGTATCTGCCTGAAACACTCTGAACCACATCTCCCCGCCTGCCCCGGCTCCACCCCGACTCTTCCCCCGTGCCGGAGCTCTGATGATGGAAAGCGCCAGTGTTCTCAGTGCGCCCACGTACTCAAAAAGCCAGACGATGCGAATGCCCCGGAGCGCCCGCGCCAAGCGGATGGAGCGCACCAAGCGCAGCTGCCCGGCGTTGACCGAAGGGCTCAGCCAGACCGCCATGTAGTCTAAGGCGACCTGGCTGTCCCGCAGGCACCAGTGATGGACCCGGTGATGTAGACCCAAAGCAACGGACAGCATGGCTCAAAGTCAAGTGCTTGGCATCTTAGAGAAACCTGATCCGTTTGGACGTCAAGAAACCTACTTCAGCCCTGTTCATTTGAGAACTGAGTGGAGGCTCCTTGGAGCGGGTGTTGCTTGGGAGAGGTCCACAGTTCCACTTGGCTTTGGATGCCAACACGCCCAAAGTATCAACGGTGGAGAGACCAGGGCCAGGGTTTCTTTCCTAGCCTTGGTCATGTCGGTCCCACACCCCAGAAACGAACCAAATGACTGTCCCTTCCAGATATGGTTTCTTCTTGCACGGAGTCCGGTGCGTCTCCCATATAGAGGCTTCTTGGCCGAATGAGAACCGATCACTGCTGACCCCGCCCCCACTGCCGCCCACCCCCCCCACACGCGACTGACAAAGACTGAGCTGCATCGGCAACTGACACAGTGATGACCACGAAATCAAAGACATTCCAAGAGCTGTCCTCACACAAATAGCGGAAACAATACACCGTCCAAGATAGGAAGTCAACCCTCAATCTGGCCACAATTGATTGTTGCTGTGAATAAGTGGCTCACAGCACTGTTCGAGATCTATTTATATGAGACCCTGCATGGGGAACTTGGTGGACTGTTGTTCAGAAAGTGGGCATTCCAGTTCTGGCCTTTATTCTGCGAAACACAACAGGGTTTGCAGCTGCTTGTCTGTTCAGCTGCCGAAGCTTCCGCTACGCAGCTGTCCAGCCTCGGCAAAAAGGCTTGTCAGACGTCCCTGCCTGCCTGCCCTCAGGCCCTCAGGTCAGATTCAAAACAAAACCAGCGCTCCAGACCAGGAGAGAAATGCATTCTCTTTCCGGACAGCGGAACGGCCTAAACCGTGGAAATCCTGGAAGAGTTTGGATGGTTTAGGTTTAGGGGCCTAAACCTAAACCATCCAAACTCTTCCCAAACGCTTCCAGGATTTCCACAGCCGCAGGTTCGGCTGCAGGTTCGGCTGGGACACACCGGGAGACCAACCGAGCAAAGCTGCGGGTTGGAAGTTGCCGGTTCGCTGCGGCCCTACGCCCTACGCGCGAAGGAGGGTGGCCCACCCATTCAACAAGAAGGAGTCCCTACGGCTCCTGTTGAGGGAAAAGGATCCATCGAAGCATCTGGCGGCACACAGCTGACCCTTAAAGGCAAAGAAAGTTTCGGACATGACAGGATATGTAAAAATCTGAGGTTGCTTCAATCTCCATTTGGCGTGCTATTGAATTGTCTCATCTCCCCTGCAGCGACAAGCTAGGACCAGGAAGGGTTCAGTGGCACAAGGCACAACGGTTGGCCGAAAATTCAGTGCAAAAGGCCAGAGACCCAAAGAGAGGGAAGAAAAAATGAGATCATCTCTGTGCCGTCCTCCCCGCACCAGAAGGCTCGTCGCCCCACTGCCGCATATCTGAGCAGCAACTCGATGCAGAAAATGCCCACAAAGGCCTCAGTGCGGACGCACGAGGTGCTCAGGGGTCCGCCTGTGTGTCTACAGCCGCCAGAAACTGCCCGTGGGCCCCCACCGTGGAAAGGCATTGACCAGCGAAGAGAAAATTATGTATTTACATTCTCTGCACTTTTCCATTCAGAGCCCGCGATCGCGTGATTTTTGTTGTGTGTATATCTAAATGTGTTTATTGTTTTTAAAACAAAAAAGTATAATATATATATATATACAGTATGTATATCAAGAACCGTTGATGAACAAAAAGCCTGGTCAGGCCATTTGTTGCGGTCCCGTGGCGGTTGATTCATGAGCCAAACAATTACAAGCCAGCGTGGGTTCCCGGGCCGTGCAGAAGATCACCAGTGGCTTAGTGCATGTTTGAATCAAGCAAAGCTGCTCCAACAGCTTGTAAGCTGGTACATGTTGCAAGTGCCCTGGAAGTCCAAGACCATTCTTAAAATTGTTGATCTGGTTTTATGGTGCAAATCCTTATAGTAAAACAATGGTTGCTCAATAAAGGCCGTGAAATCAATGGGCGGTTCGATTTTTAAGGACTTCGGAGTGGTTGAGCCTTTGTAGATTGCAACCTTCGCCCGAAAGCGACCCGCTTCCGGGCCCTACCGCCAAGCGGAACTGCAGGTTCACCTCTTCCCAGTCCCCGTTCCACCGAAGTCACCGCATTGGCCCAGCTCAGCCAGGACGGAACATCGCTGATGCCCACTCCAGCAGACAAATCCACCTCCACGCCCAGCAAGATCACGTTGATCCTGGGCGAATTCGTTGGGCGAATGCGTTTGGCGACTTCAAGGCTTCGTTGGGCGTTGGTGCTCGGCCTGCGAGGGGTCTCCCTCAGTCTCCTTTCAACAAGGGCAAGCCAGCAGCCCCTGGCTTCAAGAATTGACAACCCCCCCAACAAAAAGAAATATGTACCCTGCAAGCTCAATATTATCCAAGGCGTTCGCTTTCCTACTCTCCTGCGCACGAACCATCCCCCTTGCATTCGTTGATAAAACCTCCGAGCTCGCCCCGACCTTGCTTTTCGGCTCGTTGACGAAGGCCAAATACCGTATACCCATTGGCTTGATCAAAGCGAAAAAAGGGACACCCAGGCAGTCCCTCATGGACCCTTTTTCAAGGACGTTCACCAATTCCGTGAAAGCCTCATGTCTTCTCATCAAGGCTCATAATCAAGAGCATGATGCTGTTGGTGAACAGCGGTGACGTGACGATCTGGTTCACGCGATCGGCGTATTTTTCCACGCGCGATGGAGCGCGACCGGGTGAGAGTCTGCTCTCCCGCAGCCGGACTGCTTGCTTCCTGGCCTGAAGGTACAGCGCCCAAGAACACCCACCTCCAAGAAAGCTGCAACCACACCCCCTTTTGAATGTAGACTGTTGATCATAGGTCAACTCCCCATATGAAGAGGTACCATCTTTAAAAGGGGGCATCCTCTCTTGGGATGTTCACCCCAACACTTGCCGCCCATCACCCGAGTAAGCATCCCAACCGTCCAGCGGTTTCAGAATCGAGCAGAGAATGCATCTCTATAGAGAGGTTGCCGGTTGCAAGTCAAATATATATATATATATATATCCCAACAACAACAACGACAACAACAACAACAACACCTGCACCTCGCAAAACACCGACCCTTCACCCCCCTTTCTCAGTTCCAGCCCGACCGCCTTCTCGCGGAACCGCATCCCTGTCTCATCCCACATGGCGCTCGCCAGGCTGGCCAGGGACCCGTGGTCCGAGGCCGCACTGAGGTTGCTGGGCAGCGAGGTGCGCTGCTCGCTCGTCATGCTGCCGTAGGACTGCTTGGATTGCCGGGACTGCGCGGAGTCACGGGTGCGCTCCACCTGCGAGATGAGCGAGCGAGGAACGTGAGGCCGAGCAGCAGCGGCAGATCGATAGATGTCTTTTGCCAGCGAACCTTGCTCGTCTTTTGCCGCCAAGTTTGAGACATGGGAGACAAAGTCATCTCAGCCCAGCATCCAGCAGAGACATGGAAGAAAAAGGGAACAAAGCAAAATGCTCTCAGCCCAGCATCCAGAAGAGCCGCGGGAGACAAAAAGAGAGCGAAAAATTGGTGACAAATGCAAGAACTGAGAACTCCTCCCATAACAAAGCATCAACAGCCCGCCTGGATGCTTTCCTTGAGCCGGGGGCTGATCCGAGGGCTCTGGAGGATCGGTGACACGTAGGGCGGATCCGAGGGCGGATCGTCCTCCTCGATGCTCACCCGCGTGGCGTGGCCGTGGGGCTCGGGCTCGTCTCGGGACGCTCGGCTGGTGCATTTCCCTTTCAGCAAGGGCTTCAAGAGCTCGACCTGAGGGGAGGACCACGCAACGGGCGTGACGCAAGGAGCGGTTCGGAGCCACCGGGACGGACTGAAACAGCGGATTTCGAAAGGAATGCTTTTTGGGGAAAGTATCTGGTGTGTGTGGGGGGAGGGTCGGCATGTTGAAGAAAGTAAAGCTACAGGTTAACAAATGTCTACAGCCTACCAGCCTGACGAAATCCCCAGACCCCGCTGGTGGATATGAGCCTGATCCCGAGCGGGCAGTTTGACAGGGGCAAGCTTAAGCCGTTGAAACTTCCAGTGCTTCCTACTTTGCAGGTCTATCGTCCAATGAGACCAACCTTGCGCCAATTCAACTCAAAGGCCTCCAACCTTGCGCTCTTCCAACCTCAATCGCCCCGCCAGTTCTCCCGCTCGCCGCGCCTGCTCCTTGAAGCGAGCCTCCACAAAGTCTTGCAGGTCCCGGAGCTGGTAATGGAGATCCACCAGGGAGAACTCCCCGTGCACTCGCCCTGACCACTCCGCTTCGCCCAGCTTCGCCCAAAAGACTTCTTTTTATAACCACAGGATTTGAACCTACAAAAGAACCCACTTTGAGGCCAAAGGTCTTCCACCTCTCAACTCGCTGTCGAACATAGATTTCGTCGGCTACAGCCGTGGTCCCTGACCGGCCTTCTTCTCTGCCTGCGCACACACCTCCTATCATCACAGCAGCGCACACTGCGTGGATGCCAACGGCTGCGGGGCGGCGCGGCAAAAAATGATAGAGGAACGGAACAAGCACTATGCCTGGTAGGAGGCTGTCACTTGCCAATACAGAAGGAGCATAGGAACCGGAGGTAGGGTAGACTCCCTGAAAATGAAAAACCACTTGTCCAGCACTGGACAGTGCTTCCATCGTTGGTGCCCTTTGGCTGGCACTCGTCAGCCGTGGCTGGCACCATCCAAACCAGTCTGGGGATCGACCCGCGCCTCGCAGAGCCGGGGGCCTGGAGCGGAGGGGGAGTCCCCAGCTCCTCCTCTCTCCAAATGCTCTTCTTGCTGGAGAGCAGGATGGATAAAAGTCGGAAAGGGCGATCAAGAAAGTATCTGTTAAAGAAATTGAGTTAAATAAACATATATATAAAATACATAAAAACAATCAAACATAATGGTTTTGGGCGGGCTCCTGCAACAAATGCCCTTTGTTCCACAAAAGCAACTTCTGTCTTTTGAGGGTGGGGAGCCATATCATAAGGAAGGCATGGAATGATACAGCCTAATCCAAGGAGAGCAAAGGCTCTTGAAAGACTATGTTCCTCCACGACAGGCTATGTGTATGCTTCCTATGCTTTAATCTGAAGCTGGCTGTCGGTGTGCAGAAGAGGCCTCAGGACACACCGCCCAAAGAAGTCCAGCGCCTTCCATGCGTGGGCACACGTGACCGCTTGCGTGCTCTGTGTGGGACACTCCCAAATGGCAAGCATGTGTTGTTCCCTGCAGGTTGTCCTTCACTCATGAGAATCCCCCTCCCTCCCTATATACTACTTGCTGGTCAAAGGAAGCAAGCATGACACATGACGGACACTCAGCATCAGCAAGCACCAAAATCCTCGACCCTCAGAGGTGGCGACCTCCACTTCTGCCAGCAGGCGGTGCTCCCCGACCTCCCAGCTGGAAGGCCCGTTTGGCTTTCGCAGGGTTCTCCAACCTCCTTTGGTCGAGACATGCCCCTGCAACACGACACTCCCGAAAATACGTGTTCAACAGAGGTTCAGTGCGGGGTTCTCAGGTTTGAAAAGCAGGGTTTCTTGGGTCAGCCTTTCCATCATAGTCTTGGTGTGATTCTGTGCTTTCTGGTTGACAAATCATGGTCAGTTTGACGCTCTTCATTCATACCTTCTCACCTTGGCCTCCAAGGTGCGCGGTTGCTCTCCGGTCACTTCCGAGCAAAACGGTTCGTTGCGGTGTGCGGAGCGGAGCGCGGCTAGTGGAGAGTGGCAGAAGGGGCGAGGAAGAAACGTTGGAAGAGGAAAACGTTGTGATGTTTGCCATTGAAATACCTGTCTTTCCATAGCCCCCTCCGACCTGGCCTCCAAGCCCATTGCCCAAGGGGAGCCGTGGTGAACCATCAGCCTGGCATCGTGACAGCGATTCTTCAATCTTGATTACCAACCCCCTGCGCCCCGCCCCCAAGATGCAATGATCATTTTTACAATAAGTTCGATTGATTTCGAATTGAGTCTGTTGTGGGAGTTCATCAACCTCCGAAATTGTGCATATAGCACTACGTGACGTCACGTTCTTCGAGGGGGTTGGTCCAACGCTAGCATTTGGAAAGGCTGTCGAACCTGCGGTGGAACCCTCCAAGGCCCCGCACTGCACCCCAGCACCAGCGAGGTACCTGAACAGTCCGGCTCATTGCGAGTCACCCACGTCTCGTCCAGCAACCAGAAAAGAGCCTCAGCAGGGAACGAGCCAATGGGTGGCACCCGCGCATCTCCCCGTTGGCAGCGTCACGACGTTTGTTCTGCCACAAAAACACTCGACGCGCCACGCCGCACCGGACTGGACTGACTACGATCCGCGGACGGAAAGCGCGCACTCCTCCGCGAGGATGTCGCAGAGCCTCCGGATCTGGTCCTCATGGTCAGTGGAGGGCATCTCATCTCCCATCCTTCAAAAGCTACGAGCTCCTCCCAAAACTCCGTATTCAAGTAGTCCCGGCTGCGATAGAAAAGCGTCACCATACTGGGAAAGGTCTCTTCCTCTTCTGCCAGTTGGAACCTGACGTGCTTCATGGTAGAAAAGTCTTTCATGCAAAAACCTCCCTCCCCCAACCCTCAAGATTCCCTGCAGGTTTTCATCGGTGTATCCGCAACCTTTTTCCCTTGCGCGTGTTTACAGCAAGCAAGGCCTAATGCTAAGAGCAGCAATCACAGTCTTGCAGTGGACACCCCATGCACTGGTATGTCCAAAGCCCAGATTGCCATAAAAAGAAGGCTTAAGCACAACACCCTCCTGAGCACAAACAAGAAATTGAACTTGTCGCTTTCAAAACCTCTTCAGCACACAGGGTGCAAAGTGGGCTTAAGGATGGTAAGAGCAAGGTCCAAATCGGACATGCTTAAAACGATGCGTCTGAACTCCTAAGGCTGAAGAATTGGAGGTCACGCCGGTCACGCCTTTGCCGTGAATCTGCCTGCGAAGGTCATATGAGAGCTCAAAACCTGTGAGCTGAATTGGTAGTCCCCATGGTAAACTTTCCACATTTAACGTTCCGAGGGCAAGTCCCTCAAAAGAAAAAGAGCGCAAGGCTGAATGGGGCCAGTGCCTAGCCGTCCTAACAAATCCCCACATGGGTGAGACACTGTGTTGACATGTGCGTCTCCTTTTTTGGGGTGATAAGCAACACGTTTCGATTGACCAAAGAAACCCCCGCCATGCCTGCCGACACTGATCAGTGGAAATCATGGTGGAAGCTTCCGGAATGGCTGCTGAACTGTTCCACAGCCCCACCAGCATGGTATGAACCACCACCACTGCTGTAGTGATGTACTGCATGGGTGCTGCCACCATCGAACTCCGCACCACCATCGTGGTAGCTACCGCCCGAGTGGTAGGAGCCGCCATAATGATGCACCACACGGACGTTGTCGCCATGGAAGTTGTCACCCGCACCGTGGTAGCTGCCGCCCGAGTGGTAGGAGCCGCCATAGTGATGCACCACATGGACGTTGTCACCATGGAAGTTGTCACCCGCACCTTGGTAGCTGCCGCCCGAGTGGTGGGAGCCGCCCCAATGATGCACGACATGAACAACTTCATGACCAACATGCCCCATCTTCACATGTCTGGTCTTGTAGATCACCTTGTTCCTGACCACTGTCTGAGATGGCAGCGGGGCAGGCACGGGGATCACATGGCCTGGCTCTCGCACAGGCACAGGCACAGGCACGGAATGATAGGTGGGAGGGCTGGCCTCTGGCACAGGCACATAGTGCTTCTGATGCACATACTTGGGCACCACATTCGGCTGCCCTGGCACAGGGACCCGGATCATGCGTGGGGGGTCGTGGATTGGCACATTCACTACGTGGTTGACCACTTGTGCTGGCGGCGCTGGAATTGCCACATGCACAGGCACGGTCTGGGTCTTGTAATGCGTGATTGTGTGGAAATGCGGCCGGACGTTAATCTTGGTTGTGCAAGCAATGTGGCTCTTGTAGCAACAATAGCGTTGTTGTTCGCCAGACCATTGATGCTTCCAATCTACAGAACCAGCATCACAATCAAAAGCGCTGTGATGCACGTAGACCTTGTGTTCGATCACTTGTCTTGGAGGAGGGGGCACCGGCACAGGCACCACGTGTGGCACCGGGACATCCCTGCAGGGTCAAAACTTGAAGTTCAACTTGGCTGTCTAGCATCTTTGTGAGGAAAAACCATGCACAAAGTTGTACAAAATCAAATGCGTGACGTGCCGTCACAAAGAAAGTGGGTTCAATCAATCATGTTCATTCGGCAAATGTCTACTTCGGGGCTGGTATTGTTCTGGCCTGGGCTTACCAAGTTCAACCATACACTCACAACACCAACCACACTGAAGTGGAAAACAGTTCGGTTTCGGGAAAGTTCCTCACTTGGGTGTAGTACTGGTCGTCGACGTGCACTTGTGGTTTCGGGACGGGGCTATGAGCACAGAATTGCTGATGGCCCATGGAACAACAGTGCGCCATCAAGTTTGTTGTCATGCCACTGCCAACAGCGGAGCGCGACATACCTCGGCGTGCAATGAACAGAAATTCGTTGATTGGCAGAAAAGAAGTCCTGTTGGATGTCCAAGTGCTCGCACTACAGGAAACAAAATTGTCCAAGCATCCAACAAGTCACAAGGGTCGGAGGCGCCCGTGGGAGGCAACAGCCGCCAAATCCCAATGGCCAGGAGAAGGACGACGGCAAACACCGCGGCACCGATGCAGGGGAGTCGAAGCTTCGAACCTGAAGCCACCTGCCAGTGTGTAGACTACATACACTTGGTGTTGGAACCTTCAACAACCAACCGACTCATCGACCGATCGACCAACCGACCAACCCACCAACCAACAAAAAAATCGATACCTGCGTCCCGCGCAATCAAAAGTTTGGCACAAATTCGCCTGAACCCGTTCCTTCTCAAAGTCGCCCCTCCCCTTTCCAACCATTTCCATGCTGGAGACCTGCGAGTAGCTTCCCATGCCTTGACCTTTGTAGATCAACTGTTCCTTGGTGTGCACCCCGTCGGCTTCAAAGCACATCGTTGCGCAAGAACCTCCCTCGATGTCACCCATGGCGCAGGCGGCGCGGCAAGGCGAGCAGAGCTTGGAATATCGGAGCGACGGCCTGCACGACGAAAACACCATTCCAACACCAACACGTGCATTCAGCTCCCCGTTCCACCAGTGTCGAACATCTGCTGACACACGCAACGACGAAATGCCACGAGACACATTGATAAAGCCCGGCGTGCGCCAAATTACACCAGCATAGACCCAGATAGCTAGGCAGAATCCCACGACCTATTGACGTGCGACTGGCTGGAACAAGAATGCACGCAGCTTGCGCAGCCAGCTTACGGCACCTCCACAGCGCGCACAATCAGCTGACACCAGCACCGGTGCGAAAGGCTCATTGTCCTTTGAAATAATAAGAACCCCATAGCTGTCGCTATATGGGGAACAAAAAACTCTCTCCAGCCAGCACCCAGCACCGGCACCCCGCACCGGCACCCGGCACCCTGTCTCCACCACGCGCACAACCAGCACCCCAGCACCAGCACCGGCACCCTGTCTCCACCACGTGCACAGCCAGCACCGGCGCCCGGCACCCAGCACCGGCACCCTGTCTCCACCACACGCACAGCCAGCAAAGCGCGCGCAGGCAGCTCATTGTAATTTGAAGTGAGAACCCCATAGCTTCGCTGGGAAAATGATCCGAAAATAGACACCTCACATATGCAAGCTACACCAGCACCGGCGCCCAGCACCAGCACCAGCACCGGCGCCCGGCACCCACCACCAGCCGGCACCCGGCACCAGCACCAGCAACGCACCGGCACCCGGCACGGCACCAGCAACCTGTCTCCACCACGTGCACAGCCAGGTCACAGCACCAGCACCAGCAACCTGTCTCGAAAGCGCGCACGGGCAACTCATTGTTATTTGAAGTAAGAACCCCATAGCTTTGCTATCTGGGGAACAAAACCAAAGTATGGTCGGAGGGGTGCCTTACGAACGCAACACACACACACACACACACACGCCACAACGCCTCTTGAAGAACGGAACCCTGTACGCAGGCTGTGCAAGGACATGCAAGCGCCAGCAAGCCGAAACCAAACACGGCATTTTGCCACGCACAAAGATGTCCCAGTTCCGGTTTCAGTTCTTAGTCCTTTGCGCTTTGGGTCCGTGTAGCGCAAAATTTAAAATGGCCCAGATCATGCCGCCCCACTGGCCAAACATTTTGAAAATGCTTTGGGCATCGGCATGGGTCGGATGAATTCGTGGTGCACCACTTCAATTAACAATTGAAACGTCAATTTGATGCAACATTATTTACAGTACAGCAGGCTGGTGGCCGACAACGCTTGTGGTGGCGCACAGACTAACACCTATGAAAACCATGAACGATGTGGTGTGGGTCTGAATTCCATTTACATGTCATTGACATTTCATGTCTGATTGACGCATTTTCCATATTTGTTTCCACTCGTGGCCGTATTAGGGCCTTTGAGTCGGTTGAGCGACAACCCCCCGTAAGACCTTGTGAGTTGAACTACCTGTTCAACGAGATTGGTAGCGGACCAGACTGCCGGTGTCTTTGATGACTTTGCTTGTGGACTCTTTTGGCAACCTTCAGGACGTTGAGACTGAGTTGTTCATGTCTGGCATGGATCGTGGGAGTCCGAAGAGGACCCCAGTGCGCCGGGCTCGAGCGGCCGCGCCGGGTACACCTGAGGCCGTTGGAGGAGGACTATTTCCCAATGCCGAACGCGATGAAGGAGACATACAATGGCCGTTCACGCCACAGACTCAGCAGAAAGGTTGGACTCCGGTTTGGCCAAGGCGTGTCCCTCCTCAGAGAATCTAAATCAGAAGAGCTACCGCAGTTACAGGCGAAGGTTGGAGTTGTTCCAGAAGCGTTGGTGTTCAAGTTGCTTGATGAACTGTACCAGTACGAGGACTTGATAAGTTCTTCACCGACTTCCACAGAAACAAGGGCGAGGAGATGCAAGCATACCTCATTCGCCACCGCAACTTGCTCAAAAGAATGAAAGAGGTGAAGTTTGAGATCCCACCGTTGCTTTCTGACTGGCAACTGCCGAAGTGGACTCATCTGCAGATTAAGTCCATGTGTTCGGGCGACTCGGAGTATGAAAAGGTTGGTCGAGCATTGGTTCGCATGTGTGGTGGCGACCATCAGCCAAACGCTGGTGTCGGCTCACATGCGCGGACACATCCATCGCCAAACCATGCCAACTGTTCGACGAAGGGAATATTTACATTTGAACCTGCTGCGGCGAAAAAGTGAGATGGTGCCCAATGAGAGGATGAAACAATGGCACAGACTCCAAAACGTGCAGCTTGAGTTCATGGTGGACCTACATGCAAATGTCAAGAAAAGGGAGCTGAAGTGGATGGCAGAGCAGGTGGCAGCACTCGAGGAGTTGAACACCCATGAAGATCCTCACCAAGGGCAACAACGAAAGTTTGCTGAAGGAAAGTTGCGAGACAAGCAACAACAAACGGCACTCTCCTACAACCATGAGAATGGACAGATGATGAAGAAAAATTACCATGGTGCTTGGGAATTTGTCAGTTGCTGTGAGGATCGTGTCTGAAAAAAAAATTTCCCCTGTCTGAATTGCATTTACATGTCATTGACGTTTCATGTCTGATTGACGCATTTTCCGTATTTTTTTCCACCTTGAATCGGTTGAGCGACGACCTGCTAGCGCCCGTTTGCCCCAGCCCCAGGATTCGAGGAAAAAAACACGCGTGAAAACAATGTCACACGCTGGTGCGCGTTGTTTGGAAAAATTGTGACGGCAAATTTTTAAAAGCCCGCGCCCACCATCACGAGTCACGATATTTTCAGAACACGTGTCACAATTTTGAGGCAAAAATCCAGGCCCAAAAACGGTCCAAAATCCATGGCGAGTTTCGAGTTGTCCCCGGGCCTTGCTGTGAAACATTCTTGGACAAAGACATTGTAGATAAAAACAAAACAAAGCAACGTTCGTGTTCATGAAGGTCGTTGACCCACTTTCGTTGAACAGGTAGTTCGGCTCACAAGGTCTGACCTGTTTTCCTCAAGCACGTGGTCTACGGGTACCGGTGCCCACCGGACGTGTATGGACGGACTCAAGACCCGAGCCACCACGCCCCTTAGGGTAGGAGAATTTTTCCCCCTCGGAGGCGACCTGTCTTGGCGCGGTGAGCCACGAGTTTGCTGAAGCAACAATCTGCGTCTTCGACGTTAAAAGGGCGGGCGCGAGGATAAGGCTGATGGGTGAACAAGGCCGACCACCGGGCCTAGAAGGCATGCAGGGAGCGAGCCTGGGACAGGCAAGTGGTGGAGATCGGCAGCCTCCTGGTGCCAGCGGCCCCAATGAGTTCGATGTTCAGCGAGGCTCTCAGTGAGGACCTCAAAAAGCTTCGGGCAGGTCCTTTTCTCGGTGGTCAGGGATTTTTCCTTGATTTTTTTCGGAACCGTCATGTTCCCCAATGTCTACCACAGGGGTTCAGACTACAGGAGAAAACCCTGCCCATCCACAATCTTTAACAAGATCCTGTGTACCAACCCTGCAACCACTTACCACAAGGGCGCAAAAGTCTTAGTAAAATCCTAGCCGTGAACCAACCTATGTCTATCATTCCCTTCCAGCACGTAGGCAGGTATCTACCGCAAAGCACGGATTTGCAGCATCATTGGGCAAATGACATCAAGGAACCTGCTGGACAATCGACATGGCCTGGTGGACAAACAATTGAAGGAGGGGAGGGCTGATTGAGAGGGGTTTGCATCCGCAGTTCAGTGAGGGCACTTATCAAAGCACGTTTCGCTTCGATTCCTTCCGGGAGGCTTCAGGGTATCGACGGAGGGTTTGCAAGTTTCAATCCAATTGTATAGCAACGCCGTTCCGCTGTTTTTTGTCCAGGCGTGTGAAAACATTTGGGGCCTTTCTGGTCTTGTTGGTATATGGTTGGAAATTTGGTCCAGCACCGTTGGAACGAGAAGGCGCAACCCCTCCAGCCAGCCGTCTCCCAGCCCCTTGGCACACCCCCTGCCACTTCCCGTCGACTGCCTGGATTATCCTTTCTGGACTTTCCTCCTTCGCGGCCTTGGATTTGGGCCACACTCCGTTACATACTCCGTCTCACCCTGTACATAACCCGCTGTTTCACCTTGTGCCATATTTCCGTCTCGCCTCTGACTTACCATTGCAGGAGACAAAAAAAAAACAACGAGAAGGTTGGAAGAGTGGTGCGTGCGCATGGCGTAAAGGCATGGCCACGCCGCTGTTTGGAATCTCATTAGCGGCTCGGATTGTACATTGGCAATTTACCCGCCGAACGATGGGCCAAACGAACTTTGCAATGGACACCTCCGGGAGCACGTGTGGCAGGATATCTTCGGAGCGACTGGACTTGTAAAATTTATACGTATCGTCAAACCGATGTCTGGGCCAAGTTTGGCATCAAATTTTGCTATGCGAATGGGTTTTGAAGAAGGTTTCGTTTCTTTTTGTGGACGTTGGATTCCGAGGCTAATTTTTTCACTCGGATGAAGGTTTGTTCTTGTTTTCCGGTCACCTGTGCCTAAACTGGGCGGCCCACGTGGTCATACATACGAGCCTCACTCACACTCAATCCTAGGCCAGCGCTTGCCAAACAGCCAGCCAGTTCGACGACGACGCAAAACAAAAAAACGAGTGCCATCAACAATCCATAGAAAACACAAGGGACGGAAATCGCTTTGCAGATCCAAGCCGTGAGCCCCAACTGATCTTTGCAACTCTTGATTGCATCTCCCAAGACTGGGCAGGACGGGACCACGGGACCCCCTACCCTTGATGACCCTCTTCGCTGTCATCAATCCACCTCGCCCATGACTTGAGCGGGGAAACACGAAAGGTAGAGACGGACCGAGTAGCTGTCGGGACCTTTTCTGGTGAGGGACTGTCTCCGGTGTTTCAGGAACGTGCCCCTTGGTCAGTCATGGATGAAACCAACAAAGCCAGAGAGCACAAGAAGGCATAAGAAGGCTCAAGAGGAACTCCGTTGCGGTCAAATTGCGCCACACGGCTCTGCAGAGAGGCTGCGTTGCGTCGACGCTCGTTTGTGTCTAGGTGTGTGAA